CCTAGATCCAGAGGGCATGGAGGAAGGTAGAATCTCCACTGAGTAGTATCTAATCTGTCTGGACAGGGCAAATGAAAGGAGATGGGGATAGGTCCCTTGAGGTATAATGGTGACTAATTGTTATCAGGATTGACTGTGAGGGTTGGAAATGTAAAGGTGGATGTTTTGTAGCAAAAGGAGGGGTGCAATTGACTTTACAGTCCAAAAGCAGAGGTCCCTGGAACCATCAAAAGAGAAGACCGGAGTGCTGGACCCTACCCAGAAAAGCAGTGACACCAGAGATGGAGGCAGAGACGATGACATGGAGAGATGGAGCGGCTGGCGACTCTAGACCCAGAGAGGGAGAGGGACTGTGTGCTGACGACCGGGGGGGCAAGTTTGCAGGATATATCCTTTGGTTGGTTGATAATGCATGGAAAACAGGTTACATTATTACTCATTGTCTGTATTGTTATCATTGCCAGTGTTGCTGAGTAAGTACTGTTTTTATAACCACCTGTGTGGAGCTGTGGGTTAATGCACTGGACTAAAAGGTTACATTGAACTGCAAGGTCAATGATTCAAGCTCACCAGCTGCTCCTCTGAATCCCTATATAGGGTCGCTATGAGTCAGAACTGACTGATGGCACTTAACAATGACAACAACATGCACAACAGAACAAAGCACTGTCCAGTCCTGCGCCATCCTCACAATCCCTACCACATTTGAGTACTAGTTGCAGTCACTGTGTCAGTGCATCTCATTGAGGGGCCTCATCGTTTTTGCTAACCCTTTAATTTTCCAAATATAATGGAGATTGGTCTCTTCTGATAGCATTTTCAAAATATATGTGAAGTCTCACCATTATTGCTACTAAAAGCTTTCTGACTCTTGGGAGACTGATTTTGTGAATTTCTTCTAGGCTATGGTACTTTCAGTGCTCCGAGGAGGCCAAGATGGCCAAAATGTCATCTCTCATACTTCAGACATATTGTCAGGAGGGACCAGTCACTGGAGAAAGATATCATGTTTTGTAAGGTGGAGGGTCAGAAAAAAAGAGGAAGACCCCCAACAAGATGGATTGGCCAAGTGGTAGCATCGATGGACTCAAGTGTGGCAGTAGTAGTGAGGTTGACCCAGGATTGGGCAGTGTTTCGTTCTGCTGTGCAAATAAGGTCGCTCTGGGTCAGTACCGACTTGATGGCACCTAACAACAACAACATGGTACTTTCAATGTTCTTCACCAATATAATTTAAAAGCATCAATTCTTCCTCAGTCTTTTTTATTCACTGTCCAGCTTTCACATGCTATGTTGTTGTTGTTGTTAAGTGCCGTTGAGTCTGTTCTAAAAGTTGGTTCTGACTATGAGTCGGTTCTGGCATTCTTTGGTATTAACCAAGATTCATCTGACATCAACAATGATATGTCTCTTCTGAATCCGGCTTGAATTTCTGGCCTCTCCCTGTCAATGTGTGTATTCCTTCCATCTCCCGTTGATGTATCTTGCATCATTCAATATCTTTCATATGTTGTTGTTGTTAAGTGCCAATGAGTCCATTCTGATTCATCGAGACCCTGTATAGGGTTTCTGAGGAGCAACTGGCAAGTTTGAACTGCTGACCTGCTATCCCCAAGAACAATTAATAGTTGAAAAATAAATGCATTAACACTGTCTTAATTATCTAGAAATGCCACAAGTGGATGGCTTTAACAGAAATTTCTTTTCTCATGGTTAGATGGCTAGAAGTATGAATTCAGAGTGCTCGTTCTAAGAGAAGACTTTCCTTTCTCTGTCAGCTCTGGGGAAAAGCCCTTTTCTTCTTTCAGCATTTTTGCACATGGTGTCCCCTGGAGATCTTCATGTCTCTTATTAGCATCAATCTTCCTCTGGGTCTAGGAGGTTCTCAGCTCAGGAATTCTGGGTCTATAGGACTCACTCCTCTCCTGGCTCTTTTTTCTTGATGGTATGGAAGTCTCTGCTTCTCTGCTCACTTCTTTCTCCTTTATGTCTTATAAGATAAAAGGTGATGCCACATTTTCAGGGAAATTCCCCTTACATTGGATCAGATCCGTTACAGGGGATTGAATCCCATTCTAAGCTCCTTACAACTGATGGATCACATCAGATCACACCATTGGGGGTCATTATATCATTGTATAGCTGTCAAGTCACTGAGAATCACAGCCCAGCCAAGCTGACATAGATTTTGGGTGACACAATTCAGTCCATGACAGTCACCATCCAAGTGTTGGATGTCTCAAGTGATTGGATCATTCCAGAAGGCTGACTGTCTTTCAGTGTTTCCGTTTTTCCACACAGGAAACAAATGAACTCAGGCCTCTCTGTCACACTATTAATGCACTACATCATCTTTAAACTCTGAAGAAAAACATAGTAAAGTCTACAGGATCCTTTTCTTCAATCTATTTGCTCAGATCAGGTGAAAAGACAGCTTCAGTAGCTAGTCTGAAACTCTAGGACATCAGAGCTGTTTTGACCAGTGTGGATCAAAAGGCCTTGATGGTAAGTTTTACAGGCAGATGGCATAGTCCATGGAGAAATAAAAAACTTCCCAGACCTCAAAGGGCAGGAAAATCTACCTAGCTCCATGGTGATGCTTTTGTTTGATTAACCCAACTTGACGATCCCCAGAACCCTTATCTTCCTCAGTTGTATTATTCATAAGACTCTGTTAGTAGCAGGTGAGTTATAAAGTCCATTGACACCTGACTGGAGTATTAGAGAATAATTGCCACCAAAATGATAAAAATCTTTATCTTCTGATGGAGGGACTATGACTATATTTCTTCTTCTTTCTGCTGGTCTGTGCATCTGATTTTTCTATCTTCCTCCCCCTAAAAAAGATAGAAAGACAACATATTACTTATAATAAGAAAAATAATTATAATTAGTTGTTCAGAAGGCTTTCCTGTTTTATACATATATTTCACACACAGGATTTTATTGACTTTATAGACAGTAGGATGGCTTTTTGGAAATAGATCTCCAGGCCTTTCTTCCTCGTCCATCTTAGTCTGGAAGCTCCGCTGAAACCTCTTCATCATCAGAGCAACACACTAGCCTCCACAACAGTCTGGTAGGGAACATGCTTGAGATGACTGGTCAGACTCGAACCCTGGTTGAAAGTAAATTCTGCCACTAAACTATCACTGCCTCTGGGAACTTCATACAAGTGTAGAAATATAGCAAGCATGCAAAAATTATTCTGATTTTATCTTTAAAAGAATCCTATAAGTCGGGGTATATAGGTCCCCGAGTGGCACAAAAGGTTTGTGCTAGACTGTGAATGTAGAAATTGGCAGATCAAACCCAACAGCGGCACCCCAGAAGAAAGACAGCGATCTATTTTATGTGTTCCATGGCAAAATTTATTGTTGTTTTTAGGCCTGAGCGTGGCAATACCCAGGTAACCCACCAAATTGTTATTTTTGTATCGAGAAAAACAGAAGCTCTTTTAGGTAGTCCTTGCATGACAGACTTTCAGTGGAAAAGACAAAGGCACACATGTAGACTATTAGATACTTGGGAAACATGATTTTAGACAGGATGTAACTCAATTAAATGGGAGTTTTATAAAGAGCTTGGGAGAAATATGTCTTTATTTGGGCCATAGCATTGTCAGATGGAAAGTGTAGTGGTTTTAAATGCTGTTTGTTCCGGTCATTTCTTGATTGCAACAATGTGAGTGTCTTGTCTGTGCTGGTGGATTATTAACAGAGGTTATTGGTCTCCATGGCAAAATGATTACTTGGAACATAAGCTTATTTATAGGGGTGCAGAAAAAATAGGAAGTCAGGCCAGGGAGAACGTATAAATGTCTAGTGAGGGCCCAAGAGGCTAAGGGAGAGGTTGAAGCCAGCCCAAGGACGCAATAGTTCATAGGCTGATTTAGTCTTCAGGCCCCAAAGAGGAATTTGAATTGGAGACTTTCACTAGGACTTTCTGAATACAAACTGCGAAGAACTTGTGAAGGAGGCAGAGTGAGGAGCCTTTTTCTTGGATTTATATTGTTTTACCAGCATGTGTACTGGGAGTTGTGCCAAGTGTCTGGGGGGCACCCTCATCCCCCTAGCTGTGTGCGGCTTCCTGGCTAATGTTCTGCTGTTCTTCCCCGGAGGAAAAATTATAGACAACAATGAACACCTTACCCAGGAGATCTGGTATTTCGGAGGAATACTCGGTAGCGGGGTCTTGGTGAGTAAACCAAAAAAATCTGCCACTATGGAGTCAATTCCAACTCATAGTGGGCCCATGTATAGGAAAGTCTTATGTCTGGGTTGGAGATTACTCCCCCTCCCTTTTAGAATTGCGTACTTGTGGATCAGGAAGATACTTACTTGCTAACAAAAGCCCTAGAGTTGAATGATGAAAAGTCAGTGTCTCAAATTTACCCTTCTCTCTGACTAGGACCCAGCCACAGAACTGTCTTAGAAATGACTCTCCGTACTTGGGCTAGCATTTTTCATGAGTCAGTTGAATCTTATGAAACAAAATGAAGGCCACATAGTTTCTTTATTCTAAAAAGTTTGTTGTTGTTAAGTGTCATGGTCAGTTCCAACTCATAATGATGTTGTATAGGGCTTCCAAGAAGCTGCTGGTAGGTTTGGGCTGCCAACCTTGTGGCTTGCCATTTGCTGCTGATCCTACAACACCACGAAAAAACTCTGAGTAAAATCTTTTTAGTAAATTGACTGACTTTAAAACCACAAAAAGAGGCAGGTGCCGGTAGAGTCCTCTTCCATTCATACACCAACGATGATTTCATTGCTTTGGTTCCGATAGGAGTTGAGAACTTCCAATCAAGAGAAAATAAAAGGGAGATTCATTCTTCAAGACAACTGGGCAATTAAAGACAAATCTCTTGCTCTGTCCTAACCTAGCATCTAAAGGGAAACTCAGAGTGTTAAATATTGAAATTCTGCCTTATGGAAACTGAAGTTACTCAGGGCAAATGGATCCTAAATATTCAATAACACTCACTGTGCTCCACCAGCCATTTTCTAGTTGGTCTTGCCATAAATTCCATACTGTGGTTCCTTACACAGCCAGGCAAAAGCATGGCACACCCCTCACATACCCAAACACATTCTGATGTGATTCTTTTGCTGGCAGATGATCTTCCCTGCACTGGTGTTCCTGGGCCTGAAGAACAATGACTGCTGTGGATGCTGTGGTAATCAGAGCTGCGGGAAGCGATTTGCTGTGAGTTACTATGGGAAACGCTGTTCTTGTGGGGAGCGTGGTAGGTTCATACAATATGCATTGTACTGCAAACCACAAGGTCTGTGGTTCGAGCTCGCCAGCCTCTCCACTGAAGAAAGACGAGGCTTTCTACTCCCGAAAAGAAACACTATATAAGATCACTATGAGTCGGAACCGACTCAACAGCATTTAACAAAAATTACTATGAGGAACAATCACCAGAGTGATGCTGGGGCCACTGTCTTCCTGCGCTTGACAGTATTGGGTTGACCAGCTTCAGGTAGGGAATCTGGAAGCAACTGATGAAGGGATAAAACTTAAACTCTTCTTTTTGGCACAAGTAATAATATTAAAATTTTACAATTATCTTAACCCTCACACTTATAGGGTATCAGTATTATTTTAAGTTTTCCATAACAGGCACAGAGATGTCACCGCTGGGAAACTGGAAGGGTGCCATATAAAGAAGGCAGATTTGGGAGGGAAAAGAAGAGGGTGGTGGTCTCTCTGCCATGGAGAAATCATGAGATCCTGGGCAAGTCATTTCCCATCTTTGGCCCTGTTTTGCCTCCTTTGTTAAGTAAAGGGTTGGGACAGGACGACAGAGGGCAATCTCCCTTTCCCATTAGCCCCATAACCTCTGCCAGCTTCACTGTCTGTGAGGCCCAGGCCTCCCCACTTCTACACAAATTCTGCCTCATGACTTACTCTTTTGATATTTGATTGTGTTTGGGGTGAAGGATTACATAGCAATTTAGGTTCCCATTCGAGAATTTCTACACAAATTGTTCAGTAATATTGATTACATTCTTCGTGATGAGTGAACAGTCTCAATAATTCTATTCTGGTTTGCTCTGTTTTGCCCCCAAAACTTCTGATTCATGCCTTGTTTCATGTGGGTATCGTTCTTTCAGCAGGTGAGCTAGAGAAATTAGGTATCAATAATCCAGGAGCATTGTGGGGAAAATGCTGAATTTGAATACAGGAGATGTGGGGTTGGGTCACATTTCTGCAAATGGGCAAATCCCTAAGCTGCTGTCTGCCTTCCTTTGTACATTCTGTAAAATGAGAAAGTGGGGCTAGATCAGAAGTCTCCAAATATGAGACAAACTCGTGCACACAGCATACAATTATCTATAATTTATCTTTCAATAGCGTAGCAAATTATCTTTTAAGTAATTTCAGTCCTTTTGATTCCATCAAAAAAAAAAAAAACTTACTTTGCTAAAACTAATTTTATTTGATTAAACTAAAATACATTTTACTATTTCTAATACTTCATAATCTTCCATTTTAACAAAGGACAAACAGGCGTCAGACTCCAGGAATGTGATCGATGTTATTTAACTAAAATTCAATAGCAATATGTTTGTATCACCAGTAATACTAGTTTGTCATTCATAGTATCAACAGAAGTGTGTTTTAATAAAGTTAATTTAAAGAAAAGCATTAAGAGTTCAGATACATTGATATGGCAAAAAATGAAGAAGGTAGAACTGAAATGATTGGGTTGGTGAATCAGGAAAGCTAGCTGTAACTCTGTCTTTCTAAGAGATGTGTGAACCCCAATAATAAGCTGCACTCTGCTAACCTTCACTTCCTAAAAGGAAAGTGAGGCCTGAACCATTTGTAGAATTTCTTTCCCATCATTATTTCCACATTCATTCAATCAAAAATATATTTCCTGAGCACATAAGAAGGGTCAAGACTGGTGCACTGTGCATATAATCACAGTTTTCTAGGAAATCTAAGATCATTCACACACCCTCATGGGTTCCAAATAAGCACTGATAATTATTATGATAACACTTAAAATGATCATTTACAAAGAGGTGTAAAAATTCAGCCACAATTTATCAGATAAAATTATTTTGTTGTTGTTGTTGTTAAGTGCCGTCAAGTCAGTTCCAACTCATAGCAACTTCTGAGGAGTGACTGGTGAGCTTGAACTGCCAACCTTGCTGTTCAAACAGACTTTTCAGTCCAGTGCATTAACCCACAGTGCCACACCAGGTCTCCATAATGATATTATATTATGCATCATGCATAATATTTTAATAAAATCAATTATAAAGGAAAGGAAGAAATATATACACCTACTCCAGAAATAGATACACCTACTCCTCACTTAAGGAGCTCTGGTAGCATAGTGGTTATGAACCAGGCTGTGAACCACAAGGTCAGCAGTTCAAAACTACCAGCTGTTTCACGGGAGAAAGATGAGGCATTCTGCTCCCGTAAAGATTTACAGACTCGGAAACCCTGTACAGGGTCGCTATGAGTCGGAACCAACTCCACGGCACACAACAACAACAACTCCTCACTTATCAACTACTTTGCTATCCAACACTTGGCATGGTCAACAATAGTAAACATTGTAATATCTGGCTATTTTGCTCAGAGGCTATGAAGGTTAAGGTTGGGTATCAGGTTGACTGGACCATGATTCTCAGTGGTGTGAAAGTCATTCAATGTAGTCATCCTCCACTTTGGATTCTGCTGTGGTCATCTTCTGTATTCACATACCTATTTTTGCAAAACAACCTGGTCTTTGGAACCTAGCCATGTTGATAAATAAGGAGTGGGTGTAACTCATTTTCCTGGGAATGGTAATCCCATTATTACTTGTGAATTTAGGGGGGGATAAGTTGATGATGACATTTTGTAAATCAATAATTAAGACAGTGAATGAAAAGGAAGAAGGGTCATTGCTTAGAATCTAACATCTCATTCCCTGATTCTGAGTAGAAGTCAAGAGGTTTGTTTGCTTGTTTTATAGGTTTATAGATAACCACAGTGAAAAATAAAACAGCATTCAAAAAGTATTACAAAACACTTGTTGATTTTTTTAAATTAAATTGAAGTAAAGCCCAAGAGGAGGACAGAAAAGTCATGTTTTGACAAGTACAGTTGACTCAATAGAATCTAAACTATTTGAGCTGCCCAATCAAATTGTCTATCAGCTTCCTCAATCTTCCCGCAATTTCCCTCCCCATCCCCCACTCCTGTGCTACCTGCCTATGGCTTAAGTTCAGAGTGAGTATTCCAAACGACTGCCTGAATGTCCAGAAGGGCATCTGCATCAAAGGACCAGCTGTACCAGCTATAAACCAACACACCCGGTCACAGGTATTCTAGACAACACTCTGGGTGGCCAACAGAAGTAATTTTTTTAAATCAGCTGTCAATTTCAAAAAGCACCTACATATCTTTTTATTTTTAATTTAAAAGTGAAATTGGTCCTCCTGGGCCTGCATGTTGGCAGAGCAACAGTGGCCTGCCCAGGGCATGGCTGAAGACCTGGAGTTGCTGGTTCCGCTTTAGAGCCTTGTTTCCTTAATGCGCTGAGGCTGTGAGCGCCAAGTAATTGCTATGCTTAAGTAGCGTATTTACAAACGTTTGTCAGACAAAAAGATAAAAGCAGCAACATAATTTGACTAGAACTGTGATGGTGAACATTTAAGTTATTTCCCAAATGCTTCCAGCCTTCCTCTCCAGGTGTTGATGACCATATTGACTTTCTGTGGAACCTTGGTGAAGAAGAAACTCTGTTCACTAGAACGGCTTGTTAAGCAGAGTTCCATACTTTACTTTCTTCCCTTAAGATAACTTACTCTTTCTGGTTAGGTGTTTGACTTGCTAACCAAAAGGTTGGCAGTTCAAATCCACCAGCCACTTCTAGAGAGAAAGATGTGACATTTAACTTCCATAAAGATGTACAGCACTGGAAACCCTCCGGGACAGTTTCTCTCTGTCCTATAGGGTCGCGATGAATCAGGATCCACTAAATAGCAATAGATTTGTTTGGGCTGTATTCTTTTTAAAACAAATGTCTTTTATCCCCTTCAAACTGGCTGTCATTAAAGAAAGGCAGAAGCAACTGGCCAGAAAGTTAATGTTTTGGATCTCCGGAGCCTCCATGGGAGCAAGTGTACAAAGTGCTTAGCCAGGAGCTTGCTGGGCTGAATCCTGCTGTCTTCTGCACAGCCTCGTTCTCTAGCATTTGTTTCCTGAACTCTCTCTCCCTCTTCTTTGATACATACATCGTTCTGGATTATTTTCCAGAATTCAACATCACTATTCTCGTCCCTTTTTCGGATAGTAAAATCAGGTCATTTTCCAAATAGTACAATTGATTGTTGATGTGGTTGTTGCTGTTAAGTGCTGTGGAGTCCATTACAACTTATAGCCACCCTCTATAGGGTTTCTGAGAAGTGGCTGGTGGTTCGAGCCAGCATTACAGTACAGTGCTTATCCTAGAGCAGCACACTAGGATTCCATGGCTGTTGTTGTTACACGCCCTTGAGTCATGTAACAGCGACCTTGTATAGAATTTCAGAGGAGCGGCTGATGAGCTTGAACTGCCAACCTCATGGTTCAAACCGACCTTGCAGTACAGCACTTAAACCTGCACTGCCATAACAGGCATGCATTATATTAGAATAATCAGTACTCAGAGCATGATGTGGGGATGCTGAGATAAAGCAAGACAATGAGGTGTAAAAATATAGAGATCACCTAATCCAGAGGGGAACACAGTGGCTCCAGTTGACAAGCACTGGACTGCAAACTACAAAGTGCATGGTTCAAACCCACTAACTGCTCCATGGGAGAAGGATGAGGCTTTCTTTTCCAGCAAAGATGTAAAACCCTACACAGGGTCACTATGAGTGGGAACTGACTCAAAGGCGCTTAACAACAACAATCCAGAGTTTCAAAGAGCCCTTGTGCATAGTGGCTTCCCAGTGGGCTGCTAATGGCAAGGTCAGTAGTTTGAATCTACCAACCGCTCTATGGAAGACAGATGAGACTTTCTGTTCTGGTAAAGATTTATAGCCTTGGAAACTCTATACAAGGTCACTATGAGTTGGAACCAACTTGTCGCCACCAATCCAGAGTCTCATGGTGACACTAAGGAAATGGAAATAGACCTAAAGTCCTAAGAGTTTGATTCTTTCAAATAACTTAGACTGACTAGGGGTGGAGCCCTGGTAGCACTA